CACACCAGTTTTGAGTGCATCCAGGTCCCCACTGTGTGCAGGTGCCTGTGAGGTGCAGCCTGCAGGGGTCCCTCTCCTGAGGGAGGTGGTGTGGCTGGGATTGTGGAGGAAAAGGTGGGAGCAGCACAGTGGCCTGGGGCCCTGCTGGCTGTGTTGCGGGCTCTGCATGTGACAGCCGAACCCTGGGCCTGGAGTCTTCAGAGGGGGTGGAAATACCAAGACCTGCGCCTTCTCCGTTGTGGCCGAGGGGCAAGCCAAGGTGGCGGCTGTGCAGAGCCTTGTCTGGCCAGGGCCCTGGGTGGCCACATTCATTTCCAAGTCACCAAAAAGGAGGCGGAGCTCAGAGAGGTTGGACATGGCGTGGGGCCGGCTGACTTGCGGGGTGAGGGCCAAGGCAGGGATCCCGGCCAGCACCCATCCGAGAATATCACTCTTGCTGCCTGTCATCATGCCTGGAATTAGGCATCCTGGCGGCTTGCTGTCGGGAAAGCCAGACAGCCTCGCAAGCATGTCCCCTCTGTCCTGTGGCTTTGAGCTTGCATCTGGACAGCAGAGTGTTGATTGAAGCTGCCACAGCGCTGTGCTCCCTCCCTTGGGGCTCTCGCGCCGGGCGGCCCAGCCGCTGCCCTGAGGGGCTTCCCGAGGCGCTGCTGCCACCTGCTGGGCATCGCGGGTGTGGCAGGGGCGGGAGATCTGTCCCCACCAGCGGCTTCCCTGGGTCTGGATGACTGGACAGGGCTCCTGCTGGGTCTGTGGCAGGGTGGGCTGGGTAGCCACATAGGCCAGGGCCCAGCTGGCTCCACCCCTTGCTGGTGAGTGACTTCAGACCAATGACTTCATGCTTCTGAGCCTCAGTTTCCCCATCTGTAAAGTAGGATTATCCCCGCTCTACAACAGGATGTGCCTTGGAGGTTCCTGTGGGTATAAATGAGACCATGTGTGTGAGGAACTCATCTGTGTTCAGGAGGTGCTGCGGGGACTGCTAATGTGGACACTGTCACTCCAGCCTGCTGCTGTTACTCAGGGACACTGCGCCCTGGCACTTCTCAGCATCCACCCTCACCCACAAAGCATCGAGTCCAGAGAGGCTGGGCTCCGATACTGAAGGAGCAGCCAAGTGGACTTCCCAGCTTTGCCTGGGCCAGGTGCTCATTTAGTCAGTCAACAAACATCCTGAGCAGGGCCTTCTTGGCTCAGGGGACATGTTGGTGGCCCTATTCCCAGAGCACACAAAGGAGATTTGCCTGCTGGTACTGAATGCAGGGGGCACGTCAGCCTCTCCACAGGCTTGAGAGATTCAGGGACCTCCAGTGGTGGAGAAAGGAGAGGCCCGATCTGGCACTGTCCCGAGACAGGCTGAGGCGCCAGCTGCCCCCTCCCCGACGCCAGGCTGTCGCCTTTTTATGGCCCTGTGTCTCAGAGCATAGAGAAAATAGCCTCTTGATTCTGGTGTCAGGGATGGGGCTGCCTGGG